GGTCGAGGCTGTGGTGGCTGGGAGCGGCCACTGCACCCCAGTCTGGGCGACTGAGTGAGACTCCAACTCAAAAAAAAAAAAAAGAGTGTTGTATACACAGCAGATGGACGTGCAACCGGCTGTCTTCCTTGGGCTGCCCAGTATCTGACCCCGCTTGCCCCATTTGGGGAGTTCCTCATCACATGAGTCTTGGGAGCAGAACGGACCTCCTGAGAGAGAAGCTGCAGGTGTAAGAAGCATGTTGCCCTTCCCCCACACTCCACCCCCCACCAGCCTCCCACCTCCCTGCAGCTCTGGAGCAGGCCCACAGACGCATGCTCCATTCATCAGAAGCCAGGCTTTGAATCCAGAGGTAGCAATGCCAAGAAGCACAAACCGAACCAGGTGCAGTGGCTCACACCTGTCATCCCAGCACTTTGGGACACCAAAGTGGGAGGATTGCTTTGGCCCAGGAGTTCAAGACCAGCTTAGACAATATAGAAAGACCTCATCCTCTACAAAAAAAAAACAAAACCCACAAAAATTAGCTGGGTGCAGTGGCACACACCTGTGGTCTCAGCTACTTGGACAGATGAGGCAGGAGCATTGCTTGAGCCCAGGAGATCGAGGCTGCAGTGAATGTCCCACGGCACTCAGCATGGGCAACAGAGCAAGACCCTGCTTCTAAAATAAATAAACAAATAAATAAGTAAAGGGCATTAACTGTATCTGCAAACACCCACAGAGCAGTAGCACCGGCACCCTCCTCACCGGAGCGCGCTTCAGTATACAGCAAAGAAAAAAGAATCTCAGCAAGTTGCCCGGGGCGCCTCCTCCCTTTCCTTCTGAACCCAGCACTGCCTGATCCTGCCCAAAAAGTCAGTGTCTCCTGTTCTCACCTGTGTTCTGTCTTCGCTTCTGCAGTTTTGCCATCAAAGTTAAACATAGGGCTCTTCTCTCTAAATCTCAAGGAAACAACAAATCCCACGTGTCATGGTATGTCTGGAACCCCCTGCCTCCTTCCTGGTCCAGCAAGAACTCAGGCCGAGACTGCTCACAGTGCTGGACTCAAAATGGCAGGGAACGTGTCACATATCTGCCCGGTACTGTGGGGGTTCCCCCCAAGGTCGTCTGAACTCCGGACGGTGTGATAACGCTGATGTGCAAGCCAGAAGTTAAAACCTTACATGCTGGCCAGGCTCGGTGGCTCAGCCTGTAATCCCACACTTTGGGGAGGCCGAGGTGAGTGGATTGCCTGAGCCTGCGGGTTCGAGACCCGCCTGGGCAACTTGGCGAGACTGCATCTCTACAATAAATTAAAAGAATCAGCCAGGCATGGTATCGCACGCCTGTAGTTCCAGCTACTTGGAAGGCTGAGGTGGAAGGATTGCCGGAGCCCAGCAGGTCGAGGCTGCGGCCACTGCACTCCAATCTGGGTGACAGAGTGAGACTCCAACTCAAAAAAAAAAAAAAGAAAGAAAACATCACCTCAGCCGATTCTTGAGCTGAGGCTATCACCGCACACCTGACGGCTGTGCCCCCAGGTCAGGGTCAAGACCTCGGCCAGATGTCCTGATTAGAGCTTTCCTTCCACTTTTTTTCTGAGTCAGGGTCTCACCCTGTCACCCAGGCTGCAGTGCAGTGGTACAGTCATGACCACGGCTCACCGCAGCCTCAAGTTCCTGGGCTCAGGTGATCATTCTGCTTCAACCTCCCAAGTGGCTGGGACCACAGGCACATGCTACCAGGCCTAGCTAAGCTTTGTATTTTTTTGTAAAGACAAGGTTCTGCTATGTTACCCAGGCTGGTTTCGAGCT